ACAGACTGACCCTTGGAACCCAATTCAGCTCTGACATGGTACAGACCAAATCCTCAACCAGAACAAAGTAGCTCTCCTCCACTACTTGGGTTAGAGCTCAACCCACTACAACCAGGGAAGAACCAGGGCCCATCAAACTATATTGGCTCACATGAGCTGCAGTCTAATTTAGACTAAAAGCTACCAGAACAAAGTAGCTCTCCTCCACTACTTGGGTTAGAGCTCAACCCACTACAACCAGGGAAGGCTCACATGAGCTGCAGTTTAATTTGGCCTAAAAGCTAATACAGAGCTACCAAATGCTTTCACATAAAGTCAAAACTACCAGGCAAGTGTTGGATGAATGCAATCCTCCAAGAATACATGCAATTTAAACAAAAAAGTGAAATTAATAATTATGAAAAGTTTAGGTTTTGATGATTGCAGGAGAGTGAACAATTATATCCCCAAGGTGGTGTTTACTGGTATCCTCACAATAAACATCTGGCGACAGATGTCAATTCTGGAAGAGCTATAATATGCATGGAGATGACATAGCCTGGCTGAAGGCATGACATGGGAGAAGTAATGACACCCATGAAGGAGTATGAGGTTATTAAATATACCCACTCCACTTCTCTCAATTGCAAATAAAAATAAGAAAAACATTCACAGACTGAGAACTAGCTGAGGTCAACTAGCAAGTTTGACTTGTTGGAGGAGAACTGTGACCAAGCCCTAATTAACCGTGGACATGGGAGTAGGTCTTAGGGAGAACAGATTTCTGGCGGTTGGTAGGGTGCTTTCAAGAGTCAGAGAAGTTCTTGTCGACCAGCAGTGAGAAGTAGGAATGGGGAAGAAGGCCGCTCTGTGGGGTGAGCAGGGAAGGGATGGAAGAGAGGACTGCTGTGGGCAGCACACATTAGGCGCATGGCTTTGGTTGCTACTTCAACAGGGCAGTGCCCGGAAGCGGGCATTAGCATCCATTTCACTTACAGCCTTGTAAGCCGGCACAATGTATTTCCACCTCTCAGACATTAAGTTCCTCAGGGGAAAATTCAGAATCTGATTACCATGCAAATCCAGCTGGGATTCAGCTCTTTCACTTCCCCCAACCCTTCTTTTCTTTGCCTAAAAATTACTTGGGTGTTCAGCCATACTTTTCCATTACCTAAAATATTGCCTCTTGAAGTATGCACCTACCTCCCAGAAGCATTACTGGACTTGTGCAGATGGCTATACTCCCTTTGCTCTCTTCAACAGTTACAACTCCACACCCTGAACTTGCCTCTCGCGTACTGGCTCAAATAGACAAGCAACATTCAGGTCATGATTATGATCTGTCAATTCTTGTTTGGTCATTATTTAATGATTCTGTTGACTCACAGTCTTGAAATTATCACCTCTTTCACTGGATTGTTTGTGTGATATTTAAATGTGATGCTTCTATTTATTTATCGATTTTTAAAATGCTATTTCTTCACGGCAATTCCAAAGATAAATTCAGGCTCAAGGTAAGAAGTTTGATGTGTTGGGATTCTGCATCCTTCAAGGCCTTGACAGTATTTTCTTAAGCAGAAGCATACAGATATTTCCTTAAAGCCTATCTCCAGAAGGAATTGCTCATAAAACCTGTATTAGTCTTTTTCACAAAGGTTGCCATTAAAAAAGATCGTGGTCATCTACAGTACTGAATTTGGCATCCCAGAGTCAACACCACAGTACATTAAGGCTGACAATTGCTGCTAAACGTTCAGTTTTTCAATCACAACCACTGTGGGAGCCTTTTTATAATTGAGGAAATGTAAATACCACATAAAAAGATCAAAAGGTGTATCAGCAACTTATCTAAATCACAGTAGCCCCAGATAAAGTCTGCCCCATTACCATAAAGAGATTATCACAAGTAATGCATGGAAAGTGTTGGTTGTGGAAGGAACCTCGCATCCTACTGAAAACTCATGTATACTCGTATAGACCAAACTCAAAGATTTTTTCAGTGGGTAAAAGTTTTGCATATATGGCTACAAGTATAAGAAAACCACTGCAAGGTATTTAGGCAGGAACAGAAGAAAATATAGGCATTTCAATAGCTTTGTTGTTGCCTACCTCCTCTACCATTTTGCAAATTTCACTATCTTTACAAATATTATTTTAACTCCAACACATGTAATGCAAACAGATTTAATCCTAAAGGCATTTGCAGCTTGAATTTCCTACACAGGGATCGTAAATCTAGAATGGGAAGCCTGAAATCGTTAAAGTCACATATTTATAAAATCATATTCAATTAGGTTAAAAAAGTGCAATTTCTGTCATCATGTCATAAAAAGATGTGTTTTTCTCTCAGATCTACTATAAAGAAAAGCTCCCTATATTGTTACAGATAGAGGCTGTTTTCAATCAGTTACAAGGAGCAATCCAATTACTGGATGGTTTAGTGCAGTAACTGACTCCAGACTAATTTAATTTCTTTAGGTCTCTAAAGATCAATTGATCTGATTTGTTTCCCTCCCCAAAGGCTGTTTAGGAAAAAGCAGGCTTAAATACCTAGAAATGAAATACAAAGCTCTGTACACTTTCACACTACTTAGGTCGTTCAGGAAAGCTGGAACTGGCGATAAATGAGTGCTCCCTTGGCCCTGAACATCACAGCATGCTTTGCAGGAGACCATTAGGACTGCAGATGATGCATGCGTGCGTGGTACGCAGGCCCGCTGAGGAAGCCGTGCATGGAAGGTATTTTCACAGTTTCTCGATAAATATTCAATTTCCAAGTGTGATAAATATTCACATTTCCGTGTGCAAATGTTCATTTGGCCTGCGTAGTCTTTTCCCTGGCAAATAATTCTTTCCCCAGACAGCGATCTTACAGGAATAATTGTTTCCAACTAGATGGAGCAAGAGTCATGCCGTACTCTTCAATGTATCACCTACACCTTGTCATGCGCGTCGCGATGGTCATCAAGCAAGAAATTCTTCCTGATGTCATATCTCACTTTGCTATTTCTTTTTCTTTATGTCAGATTTCTTCATGCAACTTCGTTGGCATTAAGACAAAACTTATACAACAAGTGGGCACTCAGAGAATGACATTCTCATCTGCCTGAATATTTTGATGTTGAAACCAGAAAAAAAAAAAACACCTGAGTATTTCTGGAACATACCAGATAACTTGGGAAATTCTCAGAGTCTCTTCCCAGCCCTCTCGTCTGTTACGCTTTTACTGTGTGGGCTTTTTTAAACACTGTTGTTTCCTAATCACAACTAAACTTCCCTGTTTGAGCCAAAATAACACCTTACCCAAACTTGGACTCTCAAATCCAGAATTTTAAGGTCATTTCAATACTTTTCACATTCTGTTTCTTGTATTTATTGTAGGTTTCATGTTTGGCTACCTTATCTTTCATGGCAATGTTCTGCCTGGGCTAAGCTGCCTGTCTCAGGCTCTATTCTTACGCTTATCAATAAACAAAAGGGCACTGCGGTTTATGCTCAGCATTTCTGACTCCATGCCATGTGCTGTTATAATGAGATGTCCTCTGGAAAAAATTCCCTTCATATCCAGCACCACGATAGTCAGTTCATCTGCACAGAGGTAACTAAGTTTTTCTCCCAGCTTATCTATTCAGACTCTCTCAGCCCTTGCAAAGCTGTTGTCATGAGATATTGCTTGTCTGTAAAACAAGGAAAAGGAAACGTGAAAAATCAAAGTCTCTTCTCTTCCTACAGGTTCTGTCTTGACTGCTTATTGCATACAAACCTGAGCCTCGGATGTTGTTTACCTTAGTGCTCTGTCAGTACAGCAGGCTATGCTGTTTTAATTAAATCTGCTTTGGGGTTTTTTTCCTATTTTCAACTAAGACTTTCACTGAGGAAGCAATTTTTAACAGTTTTGCAAGGGTGCGCTGCAGTCTACAAGCTTGTTTTCCCAAATTGCTGTGCTTTCCCCCAATTTCTCAACAGATCACTAATGATAGAGTCAGTAGTAAGGTATAAAATACAACACTATTTCCTAGCCATAGACCTGCTTAGATTAATGTCCTTTTGAAATGCTGTAAAGACTTTCTGTATCCGTATGGATATGACTTCATTGAGCAGTTTGTCCCCTGTATGCGCCCGTGATAGTTCACGGATACATCTGGCTAACCCCACACAGAAGCCTAGAGGGTTTTGGCCTCTCCAAACTTGCTTTTATGATTGTGTGCTCATAGGAAAATTTGGATGTGCTATATCCATCTCCATCGAGTTCTCTTCCAGCCTAAAGCAGGCAGTTTAATTTGCTTCATTTGCCAAACTATTTGACGCGATATCACAAAAATGTGACACGCTGGAGAGCTACCAAGAGATTGAAGTTTATTTCCTACTCAACTGTGGGTTAATGCTTACGTCCCTATGGCAGCAGTTGCTTATAATGAGCTGTACACACACACACACACAGCTCAACAGTTTCCAGATAAAGCTTTCCCCTGATGCATCCTGCAGTACAATTTTGGTGAAACAAAAATGGCATCTTTGTCGTCAGAGTGGGAGTTACGGGATTTGTCCTGATGGCAATAATTGCTGACTTCAGTGTCTGGGACTGCTAAAGTGTATTTTGGGAAGCTCCCCTCTCTCTTTTCCACTGTGTGGAGCAGTGGGGAGTTATAAAGATGTTTTTCACAGGACCACTGCCCTTGTTTCCCAGTGACCCAATTCACAGCCCTCAACAGGATTAAATGGCATGATAAGAAAAAAGCTTTTCATTCTGAAGTCGTAAAACTGACCCTCTCCCCCCTTCAAGAAGCCCCCTCAGGAAGATGAGTACATCAGCCCCAACTGAAACAGATGTCAAAACTCAAAACAGCTCTTTCTTTGTAAAGTTTATAAGTATTTTTAAAGGAGGTGGAGGAGGCTTACTGTATGCAACAAGATAACATTAAAATGCACAGCTTCTCAGGAGTTGAAAGGATGCTTTTCCTACAAACTCTCTCTTCTCTTTATCTTATCTGCATGGAAAGTAAACAGAAAGTCCCCATTACCTCTCAATATCAGTGAGTCTGGAAGAGTCCCGGAATCCTTTAGCAAAAGGGTTGCTGTCAATTTTCAACTTGGTTATCTAGAAACACACAAAAGAGCAAGGCAACATGAATATAGTGTTAAGGTATTGCAGGGTACAAAGTGTTAACCAATCCCTCCTCCTGACTTCACTGCTAATTTTATCCATGCTCCTTGTGTGCGTGTGTGTGCACACCAGTCGAGATGCTGAAAAGCTGGGGAGCAAACCAGGGTGCGTTACACTTATGGCAATGGAAAGACCAAAGGGCACAGTGGGCTCAGCCTTCGTGTTACCCAGAGCAGGAAGAACCCTCTCACGTAAAATACTGCTGGTTCTATATACCTTAACAGCAAGAATCAGGTTGTCTTTTCCACAAAAAATTCACAGCACCCTGCTAATATCTGAGCCTCGCTGGTGGAGCTGCGTATCCATGAGTATGAGCCCAAACTAGGAGACACTGCTGCAAACCTGAACATGTTGCTTCAGTTCAACTCCCCTTTCTTTTTTTATTTTTTTCTTTTTTACTGCAATGCAAATGTTCTCAGCCAGACCTGCCAGCCATCACATAGGAGCAGTTTAACCGTTTTTGCATGGGAAGAGGCTGAGGAAGGGAAGGGGGGAGGAAAAATGTGGAGAGAACTCAGATTTAAAGTGAGAAAGCCTGAGTTAAAGGAGTAACCCCATTAAAACCACCACAGTCCTGCAAAAAACAGAGGTCTTGCAACCGAAACTCTCCTCACTTCTTCAAATGCAGCTACAAACCTGCCCAGTGCATCCAACCAAATGTGATCTGGTGAATAAAACTTGAGACATCATCGTAATATTCAGATTTTCCAACCATACTTCTTCCAAGAATTAAAAAATGAAACTGTAAGTGGGAGTTGGAGCTTGACGAGGGACAACACAGGACCTGTTCTGCAAGGCAGCAAATGCTACCAGCTCTAACTGAAGCCCATGAAAATCAACAGCTCTCAGCATTTCATACTGAGCAGCTATGTCAGCCTGGCTTTCCTCAAAAAAAAAAAAAAAAAAAAAAACCAACCAAAACTGGATTACAGAGGCCACAACCTCATTTTTAATAGCTGGCCCTTGAGACTCAGAAAGAAAAGGGATCTTTTCCAAATCCTCAAACAATCAAATGCTCCCATCAAACAGAGGTATTTCAAAATGGAGTGGCTTCTCCTCCAAAATTAAAAAAATATATAAAAGAGGACAACTGAACCCAACTTTTATTCTGAGAAAGAGGTCTTCTGGGAGGGAAACAGAGAGGGAGGGACAGGCTTGCAAAGACAAAACCTGAGTATTTAATTACTGGTCTGCAGTACAGGAACGATGTGCTGAGCAGCTGCTCCTGCGGCTGCCACCCACCCGCTCTGCCATACTGGAAACTTCACTGCACCCGTGGGCTGCTGCCTTCCCTGCCCGGCATTACGGGTCCAGGCAGGGGCAAGCTCCCTGGGGAAGGTCCTTCCTTTGAGGGACTACATAGGGCTGCTACAGCTCAGGGGTTGTTCCTACGGGCTGGTCAAACAGCACGGAACCACAGGGCTGGCTGAGGGTTTGAGGCTGTATCATCATCATGCAGGTACAACTGCTGCACCCACCCTAAACACCAGCCTTGTCACAGGACCTTGCAACAGCTCAGCTCTAGCACGCGAGTTACAGTCTCATCCTACTCCCAAGACACCCGTAAGCCCTTGGCTCATGGTGATGCTGCTGAGGGTTAGTGCTTCACATCCAGTGAACGTTTTTATGGCAGCGCTTTGACAACTACCTTGAAAAAAGGCGAGCTCTAACTCATTCCATTGACTTAGATCACCAACACACTGAGCCAACTGCACTGCAGAATAATAAGGACGTCTATTCATCTCTTACGCGTATTTTCACCAATCAAACTTCCATTTTCCTAATATTAAAGATTTGGTATGACATCACAAGAGAAACTTTTTGTATCCACCGAAGCCAGATGAGACTCACAATCATTTATGGCCGTATTTTTCCTGAGAGACTGTCTCACAAACAATCAGAGAACATCTGCTAGAAAGCATTTTAAAATGAAATCTGACCTACAATTCAACTCTGTGGCAGTGGTTTGACTGTTTAAATAAATGCATGCCCTTTAAATCTTAAATTATGAGATAGTTTGTTGAAAGTGTAATGTATTTAGCTTTTATCTAATAACCTCCAGAAATGTAATCAACCCCTCCTTAAAACAGTTCGGAAAGAAATGGCAAAAATGAAAAAAGGCTCCATTTTCATTAGTCATAAATAAAATGACAGCATCAACCTCTAGGGGTTCCGGAGATGTTCCATTGAGAAATTTTCCAGGACTCAATGTATGTGCTTTGGGAAGGTTAGTTTAGAAACATCTCTGGTGTAAATATTGTCGGTAAACACAAATCCATCCTACAGAAATAAATTCCAGGTTTAGCTGGTTTTCTGCCTGTTGCTATTTTGCTGGTTTCTACAGAAAGTTAAGTGGAAAAATCTAACTGCCTGTCCAAACACTGTATTCTTGAGATTCCCAGGTGCCAAATACATTTTCTGCAGCATTTGGATACAAACCTGAGTTTAAAAATCAATACCTTCTGATGTTAAAGCCTTAAATCGGGAGTTGGGTGTTTGTCATAATAGCAGTAGTACCAAGTTGGTCCTTATCTTCAGAGCTTCTTTGGCCCCCTGTGCAGTAGTTTAATTTTGTTTGTAGCGTTTAGAAATTAATTACTTTTGCTTCATATTAAGAAATGCAGATTTCTTTAAATAATCAGGCAGGTAGATTGAGTCTGTGATGCTGCCTGACCACATGTTTGGACAGTACTTATATTTTTCTTAATTTGAGGAAATTAGTGAGGGAACGAGGCTTTTTTTTTTTTTTTTTTTCAGTGCCATAGTCATTAAGCCCTTAAAGCACACTCTGAATTGCACTGAAGCCAATAACATATTTCCACTGACTTAAATATTAAAGTCCTACCCACTGTCAAGCAGAGCCTTTGCTCTCGGATTGTTTATATACTTCCTAAAATTACTCATTAGCAATCCATTGTTATGATCTCCTCCATTTTGTATATATTATCCACTGGCATGCAAATTGAAATTCAAACATCTGGATGTAATCTGGGCAGCCTCCGAAAAACATATCTCTGAGTGATTTTCCTTACGTTTGAGCCTTACAGCTTAATTAGTCAGCTTTTTAAGCCCACGAAATCATCATGTGCAAACCAGAATCTCTCTCAGCTAATGGCTCCTGAAAGATCACTGCAAATAAGAACAGTTCCTTAATGAGCTATAATTAGAAAAGGACTAAATGATAATGTGCAAACAGCTTTGTACAGGCAGAAGGGAAGACAAATGAAAGCCTCTCTCCTGTCATCTTTACTCCCATGAATAATCCCTATGGCCCTTTGAAGTTAGTAGTACTACCCGTATAGGTAAGAATTACTCCTGAATATGAAAGTTTGGGCAAGGCCACTACAGGCATTTGGCAAGGAAAGGGCGGTTGTGTCAAAGTTTACTAGTTTAGTTTGGGGGACAGGGAGTTTTCAGCAGGGTGGGATTTGGTTAAATCTGTGAAAATTAGCAACTGTACTCACCAGTTGATTCTGGTAGGCGGTAACAGCTGTAAAAACTGTCTCTGGGAAGATAAATGTCCTGAACTCCTCCGATTTCAGATTCAGCAAAGAAGCCGTGTGGTCTTTCTTCTTAATAATGTGGACCCTTGGCTGGTACTTGTGCATGGAGTTCAAAATGATCTGCAAGAAAGAGTGAGAAGGCACTGTCCTCAGAGGAAAGTTAACCAGACCCTTGAAGGGCATAAAACCGTAGGGGAGAAAAAAGATCCAATTAACACTGCAGGGGAGACATCTGAAGTCTAACTGGCCAAGGGCTGGTTTTCAGAGCAATTTCTCCAGCTCCTTTGGGCAGTTCCAGAAAATGAAGGTGGAAAAGCAGCCAACCCAGGAGCTAGTTTCTTCTCACTCCTATGCCGCTGGTGAGGACACCTTTTTTTTAAAGCATAAATACCTGTTCCTACAGGTGAGATGTTTTACATCCAGAATTTCTTATTGCTATCGTGTGCCCCAGCTTTCAGGTGTCAGCTGCAAGTGTAAATATGGAACTCTTGAAAGCTCATGATGGAGAATCCACACTCGCAAATATAGGCAGGTACAAAATGAAAACAGTCATGACCCCACCCCAAAAAAAAGAAACACCAACCAAAACCAGGAAAAAATAAAACCCAACCAAAAAACCATCACCAGCACAAACCGAATGACCAAAAATAAATCTCCCCAGACCCTTTTACTGTGCCAAACCGTTAGAGCAAGCTACTTCGAAGATACTCTTCACCACAGACTACCAAAAACAAGAGCAAGGAGGGAAACCAGTACAGAACCCCAAAACGACCAGGTTTTGCCATTTTATACTCATTAACAATCGTTCATGAGCTTCCAAAATCTAATTCTAGTGTACCGACGGATCAGTTTCAACATCCACTGGAGTCAAACCGAGAGTCCCACTTGCTTCAGCTACCACTGGCTCTAGGCCCGTTGGGCTGCCGCTAACCACAGCGTTACAATATAAGAATTAAACACAGAGCTCGGCTCGCACCAGTCCTTGTTTTGGATATAATCGCAGTCACAAGACGAAATTGGCAATGGTGTGGGTGGTTCTATTTTGCAGGGGCCATAACGATGTTACAGCCAGCTCTGTACATCTGGAACAGCTAATGCGCGTTCCTCAGGAAGCGCTAACTTCAGCCGAAACACAGCAGAAGTGGTGCAATAATTCGTGCTAGCTCAGCCAATGAGAAAGGGTGCGTGTTGCATTGGTGTAGGGAGCTTAGACACAGCTTTGTCATGGCTAAAATTTCCATCAGCGTTTTCTTCACTGTTCCTTCTCGGCCAAATATTGCTATGAGTGACACTGTGACTCTGGGGAGTGCACACAGCAACAAGGAGGTTATTACAGTGATGGGAAACCATCGCCCTGGAAGTGTTGCATGTCTACTTTTACCAGCCCAGGTCCTTTCTCAAATCACTTCACCATTTTATATATGCACACACACAATGACCATTGACCTTGTTGTTGAAACCCTCAGCACTTTTCTCTCACTGTAACGTTTTGTCTTACCAGCCTAGTCACTTGGGCTGCTCTAAGCAGCTGGAAAAGACGTTTTATAGGACAGCGCATGGGTGGTGGTCAGCTTACTGTGGGGTTGGCTGACACAGCTCAGTGCTTCCCATTGCCTTTCATAGCCACATTATCCATGCCAAGGCATTACATCTGAGCAGCAGCTGAGCTGAAGGAGAAAAAGGCTGTGACAAAGCAGCTCCCACACATGCCCTTTCCTTTCACTCCTCTGGGAATGTAAATTGTGATAAAGAAACTCCATTTCTCCAACAAGACCACTTAATCCTGTATGGAAGTTTTCTGAAACCAAAATTGCACATGGATAACATCCCCTGCCAACGATGCTCTACCCTGCATGCTCCCACCAGAGGCAAGTTGAGTCATTCAGGTACAAAACAAGTACCGAATGCAGCCAGGAGGTCACGAAAGACCCACGTCCAAGGTTAAGGCTCCACCTGCATCCCTGCACCTGCTGCCAATGTTGCAGCACTCCCTGCTATTGAAGTTGGCAGGATACTGCACAAAAATGCCCCTTATTATCCATGCATCTTCTTATGTTAGGACCATCAAAACAGCCTAAGGGAGGTAGATACACTGGGTGCATCCAAGGGTGGTTTCCAAATCCAAGCAGTGCCCTACCTGCATGGTGTGGCTGTCAGAAAACCCCTGATGCCAGCTCTGCACGCTCATGGACCCAGAGGTGCACGTGTAACTTACAGCAGCCCCCTGGCACGTGCTCACCAACAGCGCAGCATGGTTACGGGCTCCCAGCCATCCCATCTGCCTTCGTGCTGACAGCCCGTGGCAGGGGAGATGACCAGGATCCATCCTCACATGGTCCTGCTTGCTGTAAGGTCAGCCAGGTTTGTAGGCATCTGGCTCCCACTGGCTACAGACCAGTCGCCAGCGGCAATCTGGATGCCAGCTGCGAACTCTCCGAGGTAGCTTTGAATCCAGGAAGTATGCTGTGAATGCGGCTTCCACATTCACCGAAGAGCGTTACCAGGCAAAGCTTGGTTTCCAAAAGTGTGGAGGTTCCTAACTTCTGCCAGGTTGACTTTAAAAGAAAACCACCTGGGCATAGCCCCCTGTGGGTATTCTGAAACCCCTGCTTTCAGAGTTATTTGCTGGCCATGTTCACACCTTTGTTTGCTTTTGCAAACGTTCATGTGTTTGAGTTTTGCTTTCAAAAATGCAAGAAAAACAATTATGATAACGTATGCACTCACCTTACCATAAAGCAGAAATGATGCTACCCCAACTAAATGGGACCAAAAGTCCTACAAGAAGCAGTCTGCATGAAAAATGTCACCAGAAGTTTTTTTGGGGAAAAAAAAATCACTTTCATAAATGTTCCACAGCCAGAAAAATGTGAGTTACTCGTTTGGCTGTAAAAATACAGAGACAGGAGCCATTTCCTTCCTCTGGTAAGGATATCTGAAAATGTTTCCATGGAGCAAGCTGTATGTCATGCACACAGAGATAAGACTTCTGCCTGATGCCTGGGCAGAATATGTGCACAGCTATGGGGTTATACACACACTGCTGGAGATACACAAGCAGAGACGCATGCCAACTCCAGAAGTCTCAGAATAAGAGAAAAAAAACAAATGCTAGAACAAACTCTTCTCCTCAGATTCCTTTTCAGGAAACGAACCACCCTACAAATAAAATACCACAATTACCTTAACAACAAAAACTGTCTTCTTTACCCTAACAACCACAATCGTCTTCTGGAGGATGGAGAAAGCAAACAACTAGAATAAACTGGAATCATGTTGGATACAGCTTCTCTACCTATAAGTAGTATATAAATGAATCTTTTAGGTCATTAAAACTTCCTCAGGAAGCAACACACCTTATCAGACATAATTAAGATTTTAACAGGTCAATTAAAAATATCTCATCAGTAGAGAAAGACTATTTCATACTGAAGGGAGACGTTTCAGGAGACATTTCAATTCTTCCCTTCCCTTAGTACAGGGGACATCAGAAATGCCACTAGTCATAGCACAATGAGCCCTCCTTCCAGGTCCAGAAAATTAATTTCTTCCTTAATTCTACTGAGCATCTAATGATAGTGTTCACATAGCTTCAATAAGGCAGGACATAAAACCTGACACCCTAATTTGGAACATAAAAAACCCCCACAAAATATTAAAAAGGGAGAGTTCTGCATAGGCGTAACACCTGTCACGCAAATCTTGACATGGGAACGAGCCTTTGGGACTTATTCTTAACTGAACATGCAAAACCTTCCATCGGCTTTGCCTGTCCGAAACCTTCACATGAAGAACGGGTCCACCTCTGCCCCTTCATGGGAAGTTAACGGGGCTGCTGCATCTCAAACACTACGGATCATTTTCTCCCACTGCCTGTATTTGAGATGATTACGTCTTCTTGGTCTGTCACATGTCTCTGTTCCCGACAGCTTCTCAGACATACTTCTTTTTTATACTCATCTGGACTTCTGGGAACTGCACCGCTCCTAACTAGTTTGCAATATACTGCTGCAAGCCCTTTATTAGAGGCACACATGGCCCCTGTTATGATGAAAAATGCTCCTTTTTAAATGTGCACGTATACTGCTCTATCATCACTCGGTGATGGAGCCCACAAATCTTCAGCTTTGCCCTTCTACAGGTTATGAAATAAAAGAGAGAGAGAGAAAAAAAAAAAAAGAGACATTCTCCACTAGTCAGGAAGGGAACAGTGGGAACTGGATTCAAGAAAAATATACCCACAGATGGATCTTTACAAAAGAACAACACAGAGGCATCTCTCTGGGCTTTCTCTTGGTTTGTTTTGGGTTTTTTACTACTCTTTTTCCTGTTGTTTCCAGGACATATTTTAAATGGTCATGGCTGTGGTTCAATTCTTAGGTCTTGAACCGAGTGAGAATTCTCTTTCGGGTGAGAAGCACTTGCACAAAACACAGCTCAGACAAATAGCCACTGTCTCACACAAGCTGAAAAGGCAAAAAACAGCACAATAAAGGAGGGATTTCTGACACCCTGTATGCCACAATCATTCAGCTTTACAGGTTAGTTACTCCTACACATGCTTCAGGGTTCAAAATCAAATCAAAATCCTCTCTTCACTACACCTCATTTACGAACGCTGCCTTTACGCTCGTTCTTCTTAACTGCCCCCTTCTTAGCCAACAACCCTTTCAAACCCATACCCCTGCTCCTGCAGCCTTCCCCCGCTGAGCCACGAGACACCACTTTAGCTCTTCCTTTGTAATTTGGAAGCACTATCAGGCTGTCCCTGCCCTTCACAGGCACTTTAGGGAAAGGGACAGGGTGGATGACACTTTTTCTTACTACCTACCATTAGACAGTCAGGTAGCTACAGGAGTTGTCCCCGCTGATGGAGCAGAGCGGGACCCCATGGCCAGCAGCTCCGCATCCCATTTACCTGCTTGTGACAATGAACTGGTACCAGTTAGAGCTGGGACCCGTTTTCCTTAGAAACCCAAGTCCACCCTGTGGATACCTGACTTGCAGGTAGCCTACAGCTATTTCAAGGGCAACTGAGGTAGATTTATTTTTATAATTCCATAGCCCTTGCTTTGACGTCACATCAGTATTTTCAGCTGACCCTGTGCCCATGCTGCATTGACTCCGGAAGTACAAGAGATCTTATTCACGGACCCAACCCTAACAGGTTGCCTATAAGGAGAGGGAGCTTCCAAGAACACATGGAAAAACATGTGATATTGCTAGCCAGTACACGTGGCAGAGCATACTGCCAAGTCACAGCAAAGTGGAGGCAGGTACATGACAAAAAAATCTCACCTGCCTCCCGTCTCTCCCTCGCTTTGATGGCTCAACTCCACCCTGAGCTTGTCCCTGATGGATGTTCTGCCTCTGGCAGCAGGAAGAACACCATTTGAACACTTGCACTGACCTGGGACCTGCCTTACAAAAGGTAAAAAAAATGATTTCTGAAGTCACCTGTTCCTCTACAACAGAGATTAAAACCCAACAGCTTCAAGCAGCACGCAGCATCCTCCTCCTCTGCAGTACGAAGGAGTGGCCAAAGAGGTGTAAGGTTGGGGCCACGTCAGCCTTTCCCCATTCCAGTCTCTCTCCTGGATGCTCAGCCCTGTGGCACAGGTGAGCAGTTTCCTCTCTTTCCCACCAGGAGGGCTACTCACGTGGCCGTGCTGATCCAGCTCGTTGTTGGTGAGTTTGACTTTCTCGAAGGACACCATCTGCTTCAGCAGTTGCTCTCCCGTGAACGGGGAGTCAGGGTGCACGTACAACCTGAAAAACACAGGGAGAAGGCCTGCTCATAAAAAAAACATCACCTCTTTGCTTGTGCATGGACCCCACCTCCGTATGAAATCAAGGAGCCCATAATGTCTTGCTTTGGGGATACGAGGTGGTTTCACAGACGTGGATTTCCTGAGAGCTTAGGGCAATACAGATCTGCTATTCAAACAAGACACACACCATCTCCCACGAATAAATGAACATCTGAAATATGACCATTAATGAGAGACAGTAAAGCAGATGAGTTGTTCAATTCACCGGAACATAATGAAGAATCTGTGTCTGAGTGCTCGATTGCTCTTTAACCATACCTATTATTTTATGAAGTTATCTAAAATGGAGACATTAACTAACATTCACTGTTGTGTCTTTTCCCAAATGAAAAATTGATCATGTCTTTCCCCACAGCTGTACTAACAAGCACTTAAAATAACAATGACTGCAGCTCCAAGAGAAAAAACATGGTGTCATTACAGAGATAATGGGGGAATGTAGATAAAAATGCATTTTTCTTTATATGTAACATTAAGCCGTGATAATGATTTTAACCTGCACTCGATCACACATTAGCTGTGGTGACGTCTGTTTATAAGAGGTTGAAGGCTGCAGTCCAGCACAGTGGTCTGACATGAAAAAATTAATTGCAGCTCTGTAATTAACAATCCACCACTTTGGAAATTAAGCGGAAGAAAAGGAAGCACAGAAGACACGTAGATACAATGATATACATATTATGACTGGACTAATTACAAGTGCCAGGCGATTTAAAAATAACAATTTTATAGGAAAAATGTATTGCTGAAAATTGTTTAACTCTAGGGCTTTTTGCTGACAGTGAATTAAGAGCAGATCTAGTCCTTCAGCTAGTGCAAACCAGACCTGTTCTGCTTCTGTCGGTGTTGGTTATTACTCACTGAGGGCCTGACTCTCCTTTTGGGAGATGACTTTGGCCGCATGGATGGATTTCTTCCATTAGGCACTCGGGGCAGCGCCGAGATGCCAGCTTAGAAAGATAAACATTCTTTGTTGTTGTTGAGCTGCGACTTCGGTCAGGCAAGAGGAGAATGGAAAAACCACTAAATGATGGGGCGTAACTCTCTGATAGACCACGCTGATCCCTAATCAAGGAATGCCCATGCTAAAAACTTCAGGGAGCACAGCTCTGTTCCTCAGCGAGGAAGGAAATTTGATCCTGCGCTCTCCGTTTTTGCCAGCAGAATCCCCAGGACAGAGTGAAACTAGAGCTTTACCAGCACAGCTCGCTTCAGATGTGCAGGATATTTTCCTTACATTGATCCGAGGCACAGCTTGGCTGGTATAGTTATGTCCATAGGAGGAGTGCTGAGCCAGGGTTCCTGTTGCAAGAAAATATTCCTAGAAATACAGGCCTCCTCGCTGCTATTAACTCTGCTGATTGCACTGCAAGGCTCATGAAATATATGATGTACCAGATAACCCAAAACCTGGGATCCTGTTATGTCATCTCATGAAAATTAACTTCTCTTTCCTGTAAAACACTGTGAAAAAAACTCAATCTTTAGGATTAGAGGAGGCAAAATAAAAAGAGTCCCAAACATGTCCTGCAACTTTCCATCCAGTCTTGTGACTTTTTTTTTTTTTTTGCAGCTGACTCCTAATTTTGAATGGCTGGATAGCTAATAACGTTTACTGTGATCACAGAGTGTCAGGCTCAGCGAGGTTTGGTTAATTGGGACCAAAAAGCCAAACTATTTCAAATATGTGCTGGGGAATGAGGAAAGATCTTCCTGTGCCTAGAAGCTGAACATAGTTGCTTTACACCATGGGCAGTTAATGCTTGGCCCAGCTTTCGAACTACAGAGCGCCTGGATGTTGGCAGAGCACTGACAGGAACGTCGCTGAAGGATGGGCAGCTGAATGTCAGTTACAAAAATGTATTAATACATCGCGCTTTTCTTTACGGATTTGCTACACGGCGTCGATCCCACTGCAATACGTGGTTCCACCTGGTGAACTACACCTATCCACACACTTCTGCACCTTGAGCTTGTACAGTCCGGACAAGAAGGCTGAAAACTAGTTGTATCACCCTCTGAAGTAGAAGCCGTCGACGCGATCGCAAGCGGGCACGAGCAAATGGCTTAGAGAAATAAACGTGCACATTCCAGCGCGGCACACGAGGCTCCCCCAGAAGTTCACGTGGACTCTGCTGCCTAAGGCTGGCCAGATGCGAGGGGCTGCTTCCTTCAGTTCACAGAGGCTTTAAGAGCCATATTTGGATGTGAATTTGCTCCACAGTACGTAGTGTTCCATGATATATGCAAGGTTTGGGTACTGCTTCCTTCTTGCGTATTTTGGAATGCGACACCACTCCCCTATTTAGTTGGTCTGGTCCTACAAGCCCTGTGTGCATGCTGCTTTTAATTACCTTCATGTCTCAAATAATTCTCAAAATAGAATACCTTTTAAAGGTTTCCTACCTAAAGTTCTCTTTAAGTGTGCAAATACTGTAACTTCATTAGACAAATGATTGTAGCCAAATACAGCTAAAAAAAAAAGAAAAAGGAGAAAGAAACGTTTGAGTGATAGAAAGGAGGTGAAAAAGGAAAAGGAGCGAATAAAGGTACATACTGAAACTTATTAGACTGATGTTTCACACAGTCTTAGCAATTTGGCAGAACAAACATGAAATATCACATAGGTATTCTACCCCCAGATAGCACTTTAGAAGATTTACAAAAGACTGTCTAAAAAGTATTTTTATTTAAGTGTTCACTGCAACATAAAGTTGCCTTAAACGCTGACAGCGGGAAGACAGGGGTAAGACTGGTTTTTGTAGAAAGTTCCCTGAAGGGCTGTATCACAGAATATTTACTAATTTGTGAGGGGGGAAGAAAAAAGGTATCTTTGAAAGCTTTTTTAATGACGGAAAGAGGCAAACACTTAATGGGTTCAGTCCTGCAAAGTCTTACACCCGTGCATAATGCGACTCCCGAATTATTCCCCTGATGCCATGGTGCCCATGCAGATGCAGGTAGTGATGTGCGTGGGGAGTTCACGCCTTGGTACTCGCACCCTTGGTACTAAGCACCCCTACAGTGATGTGCGTGGGGAGTTCACGCCCTGGTACTTGCACCCAGACGCTAAGCACCCCTATGCTCCTCGCTGACACTCCTCAGGCGAGGAGAGCTCAAACCACGTGTTAGAAGGAAAAAAAAAAAAAAAAATCACGAGTGATAACTTCATTCAGGATTCCTCTTACTGGAGCAGGACCAAACAAGTTCGTAACAGGAGGAGTCTACTTTTAATCTTGGAAGTAAGATGGAAGACTGAGGCTTCCCATTTCAAAAGACGTATTAACACTCCGGCAAAAGGCTTTAGTAACACAAATATTAGCACTCTGAACCTCTTGACGTTCTTTTTCTCACCAAACAGGAGCAAAAAAAGCAAAGAGGTGCATAAATGTGTACACGAGTACTGTTCAAAGGAAAAGTAGCCTGTGCTACAAGCAATGGTCTTTAGGCTAAGCATCCTGAAAGTGAAACACAGCAGGAGCAAGACATCCTGAAAATGAAACGGCACAGGTATACATTTGCACACAGCACTGACTCCATGAGGACCTTAAGGAGCTACCCCGCAGTACGATGATAAATATTTCACTCCAAAAAGGTTTAACCTCAGCTCTAAAACAGTCTGTAGGGCGGTTGCTAATTATTCCAAGCGTCAGCCTCTGTCTTACATTCTTGTTATTTCCTCACCGAACTAGTTTAGAACCATAGAATCATGGAATGGTTTGGGTTGGAAGGGACCTTAAAGATCATCTAGTTCCAACCCCCCTGCCATGGGCAGGGATAGCAGGTAGTGTGAATTAGCTGTCTATTTAAAGGTATACTAAAAGGCACTTGAACAGAAAAATAAGATGGGGAGAACCCTGCCTTAAAACTATTTCTGTCCTTCCCTATTTCTTCTTTTGATGCTGATTCTTTTGGAACAGGATCCGTGGTTTCTGTTCTTTGGGTTTTGATCAGTGCCCATTACAATACGTCAAATGAAGCCCTCAGACGTTAACCGCATTGCAAGAAGGAGTTTTTGGCCATGAAAACAAAGCGAACATAACTCCTAGGTTGCTGTCTTTAATCACAGCTTCTCAGCATGCGCTTTTTGTTTGTTTACTTCCCTGAGCCGCTTTCCAGAGATCGACAGTCAGCAAGATTCTGGTTGAACTATTTATATGAGGAAAGTGCACAGGACTTAGTCACTATACTCACACACACATACAGAAAAAAAAAAAAAGTCCTTCCATTTCTTGTATTTCACTTCCAATTTCTGACTCTGTAATAAGCAAGTTATTACAGGCGAAGCCACCTGGAGCGGATCTGTGTGCCTCCACCAAAAGTTTCTTTGAAGCCAGAGAGGCATCCACGTTATTTCCATATCTCCGGCTCTGACTCAGCAAAGCCGTTAGACATGTGCTTCAGACTTAATGGACTTGGGGACTTAAGTAGGCACTGAAGTGCCGGGCTGAATACGATGATGAAGCGTGGGTCCCCGCTGAAGTGCCCTCCCATCGTACAGCCTAGTGCTGTGCCTCAGTTTCCCCGTGCTGAGAGGGATCAGTCATTAATTACATTAAAGGAAGTATTTTAGAAATTCGTTTTCTACAGCATTTTGTAGAGGAGGGGAATTAGCTTGGGGTTTTTTTGGGTTTTGGGGTTTTTGTTGTTTGTGGTTTTTTCTCCCCCTAACATCTCAGAAAATTTCATTATTTCTTAGCAAAAAAAAAATCTCTGCACTGTAGAACTAGTCCATACTTTGCCTGCTGCCTAAGAGACAGCTAAAAGCAAGAATAGAAGTATTGGTTAGCAAATGCTGGATAAGTTTATGTTTGAAATTATATTATTTCTTGATAGACAGCACTGAACTGTAGTGTAGTATTTCCACTTGTCTGGTGCTGCTTATTTTGCTTTAAATTAGGAGATCAAATACCATGGGGGGCAAACCCAAGAGACAAA